TTTACCTAACCACTCAAGGTGACTGCTTTACCTAACCACTCAAGGTGACTGCTTTTTACCTAACCACTTAAGGTGATTGCTTTTTACCTAACCACTCAAGGCGACTGCTTTTTACCTAACCACTCAAGGCGACTGCTTTACCTAACCACTCAAGGTGACTGCTTTACCTAACCACTCAAGGTGACTGCTTTTTACCTAACCACTNAGGTGACTGCTTTACCTAACCACTCAAGGTGACTGCTTTTTACCTAACCACTCAAGGTGACTGCTTTACCTAACCACTCAAGGTGACTGCTTTACATCTATCTCCCCTCCGTGTGATTCTCCGTAGCATCGCAAACACACCCACAATGGTGAGTGACTCACAGCAAACACTCAAGGCGAGTGCTTTACCTCTAGATCCTCTCATTCTGATTCTCCTCTGCGACTCACAGAAGATACTCAAGGCGAGTGCTTTACCTTTAGCTCCTCTCATTTTGATGCTCCTCTGTGACTCACAGAAGATACTCAAGAGGAGTGCTTTACCTCTAACTCCTCTCATTTTGATTCTCCTCTGCATCCCATAGCTGCCCATGATGGCAAATGACTCAGGGAAAACACTCAAATCGAGCTCTTTACTGTTATGTAGTATGTACTCTTGTCGGTGGTGTGTACATGCGTGTGGATGGATGTAAATGGCGGTCATTCATTCTTGCAAAGTTTTCAATCTGAGAATCTTGATTTTTTCTTGGTGCTGTAAATGTGCAATTGCCTTTGAAAAGGGATGAACTGTATCCAGTGTGCAGAGGAGCGATGGAAGAGACATACTCGTGGGATAGCGAGGATCTTGCAACTAAAGAGTTGACAAATGCGTTTCTTCAGACAGATACGCGACTCCTTGATTGGTACGTGTTCTCCATAGCGTCCTGAATATGGAATTATGAATAGTTTGTGTTTTTTTCCCCTGAGTTAGACATATTCATTTGGGATTCATGGTGGGATCTTGCATGGCATGCAGCGGGGACACGTGTCCACTTTTCGTTTGTCTGCTTATGTTTTTAATAACTTTTTAAGTTTTTATCCATGAAATCTAAAAGAAATCCATATCTAATATTGAAAGCAAGTGTCCTTTGTGGAGACTGCATGGCATATGCCCTGAAAAGTGAGAGCAATGTTATTCTTGCTAAGTTTGACCATTGCTGTCTTTGGTTTTGTGAGTGTCATCGTTACCATTGATGTCTTTTGGTTCTATGAGTGTCATCGTTACACCGTCCCTCTTTAATCTCTCTCTCTCTCTCTCTCTCTCTCTCTCTCTCGCGCACGCGCGCGCGCGCACGCATCACGAACCTTCCTTCCATTCCTTTTTTTAATCCTTGCGTATGATGTTGGGGAATAGAATGGGGGTTTATTTTTGTGGTTTTGAGACAACATGTATGTCTGCACAGTATGACTGAAGGACACAAAATCTGTCCGTTTTCCTTGTCTTCTCTTTCCTAATTGATGTGGAGTCTGCCCGATTTTCATCAGTACTCTCTGTTTTCCTTTCTTTCACCCTACTCTTTCTTTTTCCTTAATCCTTTTGCCAGAGCTGAGTGTGATGCAATTGATTAATGAGCCAGGAATGATCTTCTGTTTCATCGTGGTGCTCCTTCCAAGTCTCCTTATTAGTTAGTCCATGATTTCTATCCAAAATCTCACAGTTCAGTCCTTGTTGTTCAGATCTAGAGAGTGTCCTTTCCTTCCATTGGTTCATCTTCTCAAGCGTGCTTCTAGCAACTGGTGATGTGACAAAAGCACGGCTTGCAATCATTCCAGGTCACACTTCGCATGCAGGGTGGAGCAAACAGGTTGGAGCCTTGTGATTGGGGAACCGACGGGATGCTGTCTTTCTAACAAACAGTAAAACAGCAAAACAGTTGGCTTGAATATCCGCTTGATGAGCACGGAGATGAGATGATGCCATCTAAGCAACCGTAAATAGCAATGCAGATTTCCAGATGAGCGTCAATTACATGGTTTGGAATTCCTTTGGACTCTAGGACTCTAGGACTCACTTCCTGGCATGCAAATCAGTCGTATTGTGTTTTTGGTAACTTTGTGCGCTCATTTTTTCAACAAACCACTCATTACTGTTGATTTCATTATGCTTCTGCCCGGCCGTTCCCTACTCGTAGTAGTATTCTGTTAGGCTCGTGCTGTGTCTTCTCATCGTTCTGGGAAGAAGGGTATATTGTGTGACGTTGCCTGCGCTTGACACTATTACAACTTACCAAAGTGTTGTCAGTCTTGAGTTTATTTGCAGCAACCGACACTTAGCTAAGAGATAGTCAGGAAGAGAGCGCAGGACTTCTAACCCTTAGGTGGCAAATTGATTTCTTAATATACTTGGTGGTGACAAATCGGTTCATTGCATCTATGATGATCTGTGTAGTACAGTTGGCATAAACATCCTTAGCACAGAGCGGGACGAGACTGGTCGCTCGTGCGAGCATTAGGTATCATGGGGGTTCTTTCCTGTGTCTTGCTTGGTCCCCTTGTCCTTGATGCAATCGCTCTCCCTGGGAAACTATTTACCTGTTTGCCAAGACCCAGACGAGTTTGGCGGTTTTGACGGGTTCTTCTTTGACACAGTGCAATCTTTGCGTGAAGGTTGGATGCACATCCGGAAGAATCGGAGCAACAATCGGGCTCAACTGCCACGGTGATCTTTGTGCGAATGGATCGCATTCTGGTGGCGCATGTTGGCGACAGCCGAGTGGTATGCCCTCAATGTACTTCGGTAACCTCCTACCTTAGTGCAGCTCCTGGTGCTCCTTTCAACAGTCTTCACTTAAGGCCTGAGCCTACTCACGTTCTGTAACCTCATTCTACTTACAGTCTGTTATCTAAACAGCGAGCTGATCTCCCTTAGTTTTCCTTTTCTTAATCTTTCGCATGCCTTTGGGACCTCAACTTAAGGAAAGTCTAAATGATCAATTGCAGTGGTATGAATTTTATTTAAAGAAATTAAAGGCTACAATGGGGCAATGGCGAAATTGGGAGTCTCAGCTGCTTTCCTTCATCTTCCCTAGCTCCAATGCCAGGTGAGAGGTTTGCTTATTGCATTTGAAATTTAGGTAATTTCCTTGGAAGAGGAGGACCAAATGAAGCAGTGCGGAGGAAGTGAGGAAAAAATGTGAAGCCACTCTCTCACAGGCCACACCTATGAATGCAGCCATCTTCAGTCAGCAGGCAAGATATACCATCCTCATCCTTCAACCGCCAATAAACTGAAGTGGTTAAGCACATCGGGTTGTTGAGCCAGAGACTACCAGTTCGATTCTTGCAGGGTTGACTCGAGCAAAAAGTGAAAACCATAACCTGAACATGACAGAAGTGCAGAGAGAATGGTTTGATATCAAGTCAGAACCCAAGGCCACTCTCTGGAAGGGGCAGGGAGGGGCGATACGAGGTCTATGTTTCACACGCTGCTGTGCGCAGCAAATTTTGTACACTGATGTTGTGCCTCATACCTCGGAACAGAAGAAGAAAAACAAATAATGACACAAAAACAAAAAGTCAATACAATCTCAGTAAGACTCAATGTGACTCGTAGTCCAGATTCTTGTTGGTTAAGTGCTGGCAGCCGTGCCTTACTGAATGAGTTTGCCCACTTTGGCGAAGTCAAGTGAGGCGATTCTTTGGTGTAGTCCAGTGGTGCCAATCTTGGAGCTATATGTGGACTGTGGGTTTTGCACCTACCTTCTTCGATACTGGACTGGTTCTTGTTGTTTTTGAAGATTGACATCAACATGGTTGTGGATTGAATGCACAGACGAGGGGGCTGTCAGGAGTTGTCAGCCTTCCGCTTTTTTGGCGTAGTCCAGTGGCGCCAATCTCGGAGGTATATGTGAACTGTAGGTTTTGCATCTACCTTCTTCTATACTGGACTGGTTCTTGTTTTTTAAGATTGACATCAACATGGTTGTGGATTGAATGCACAGACGAGGGGGTTGTCAGGAGGTGTCAGTCTTCCGCTTTGCTGCGTTGTACACAAGCAGAATGAGGTTACGAAAGCAAACAGAGGAATTTGCTTTGCCCGGCGCAAATGTGCTTTTTGTTCCTACTTCCCCACTTCCACCCTCCCCCCCTTCCCCCCCCTCCAAAAGAAAGGAAAAAAAGCAATTACATGCTGGATGATTATTAAAAAAAACTCTCTAAAAACAAGAAAATAAAATTTTGTCTTACTTCATGGTGAATATGGTCTGCTAGAATTTACTTTCCCGAGGGTTTTAAGCCCTCGGCATACCTGCAGGTGGCCCCTACAGCAAGCATGTTCCCGCCCTAAGTGACCCCCCCCCCTCCCCCCTCCTCCCTGGAATGTGTCAATTTTGCAAAGCCTAGACAGTTGCCACACACCAGTTGGTTACGTCCACCCTGCTCGTGAGAATCAGAAACATTTGTGGGGCTTCTAGGCTCTTCTGGCTGCACAGGGGAAGCAAGGTACACCTCACGCATACGCGTGGGTGGTTGGGGACGCCTAACCAATTCGGTCCCAGGCCGCTGTCTGAAGGCGCCTGGGTATAGACGCTTTGGCCCAACCGGAAGCTACTGGACACATGTGAAGCCAGGCAGACTGCTGGCAGGCCAGTCCACTTTGCATAAAGCAAAATGCCTGGCCCTGAGTGAGGCATTCGGACACTTGGAGGTGCTGCAAGCGGCAGTGCTGCTGGAGTGATTGCTCGTGCCGGCTAGCTACCACTGAGGTGCTGCGACATGCGCACGCAGACGTGGGTTGAAGAGAGAGGGTGCTGCCAGTGAGCAGCCATAGCCGGGTTTGGGCAGATACAGCTGGGGGGGATTGGTGGTGGTCTTTGGATGGTGATGGGACGTGGGTGGAGCAGACGAGGGCGAGCATAGAGAGGGCGAGTGTGGGGGTGATGTGAGAGCGTGAACCTGGTCCTGGCGGAGGTCTGCATGGTCGACATCTGCAGGTACTTTGGTCACTGCTGCTGATGCCAACTGGTTGCTTCGTCATTTCTCTAGGCTAGCGTAGTAGCTGTAGGATAGTAGTCTGAGCACTGACCGCCAGTAGGAGGAAGTGCTCTGAGTACATGGTTGGTGGTGGTGAGAGAATGCTTTCGTTGACAATCGAGTTCGCTGCTTTGGTTCTCGGTGTGATATCATCATATCAGTGCATTTCTGCTATCTGGACGGCTTACGATTATCTGGCTTTCAATGTGACATTGCGATTTGAAATTCTGTCATTTCGCTATTGCTCATTTTCCTTGCACTTCATTCCTACATCCTTATGCCAAAACAGTTGATCACGCTTACACCTACGATGCTGTGTGTTATTTGTGTGGCAGGTGCTGAGTCGAGGGGGCAATCCTGTGGACTTATGTGGCGATCATCGGCCATTTGGTTCGAGTCCTACTGCGATTGCCGAAATCAAGCGGATCACAGCAGCCGGGGGCTGGGTAAGTGGGAATCCGACAGTGGAGAAGCCAATGCATGCTGTCCTTCATGGGAAGAGCCACATTATTTATTTGTTTCCACATGGTAGTATACAGATCATACGTGAGGCGCACCTGTGTGGTGCGCCATGCGGTGCGGTGTGTGCGGCACCGTGCGGATTGCTGATGCGTGCGCACTGCGCACACCATGCACAACGTGCGCAAAATACTCACAGGTGCAGTGTGCAAGGCTGCGTGTGTGTGTGTTTGTGTGTGTGTGTGTGTGTGTGTGTGTGTGTGTGTGTGTGTG